TTATATCACAAAAAATGCATACTACGGTTCAATGTCTGGACACCAATCAAAATTTTATATTAGAAGGATCGTGGCGATCAAACTTTTTTAGACCAATAAGCGAGTCGCAAACGATGTTCCTCAACTATTTGACAAGGTGAAGGCGATTAGCGTGTTTCGAGCTCAAGCGTTTCTTGTGCTTTGAAAAGCTTGACTCTCAGTTGTTTCTTGGGTGTCTGAAGATTAGTGACAAATCTTTTCAGTCCCGCCGGATTAGTTGCTGCAATTTCGGTTGTAACAAAGAGGAAAGGCGTTAAAGCGGACATATTCCTTTACTTGTAACTACAGATTCTGCTGCGCTAAATTATGAAATGTGAACTTGTTCCTTGTTTTTTACTTGATAGCAGTTATTGATGCATTCTATACCATAATCTAGCAATCCTAATATTGAAGCCAAGGGCTCAACTTGTTAATGCTTTGCACAATTTTTCTGTGAACGCAAACGAGTGCGTCGCATAAGCGAGTGCCGGGTCAATGAAGAGTTCACTGTTCTGTCTCCTCGCTCCTCATTTGCGGCATTCCGGGCAGATAAGAAAATGATCGCGACTCTTCGCCTACGCACTTTCAAGGAAGCTATCTTTGTTCGTATTGAGATATTCAAGTAAAATTTGTCTGTTTCCTCGAATTGGGCCGTGTAGTGAAACTATCTTTGGCAGTGCTTGATGAATTTATTGCCCAACAGATAAATTTTAGTAAGGTTTTTTAGTATTACCCACTCGTGAGCTTGTTTTGCTTATCATTAGAGAATCCTAACATTGCTGGCTATAGTTTATGTGGTGGGTTTCTATGAAATCCTACTCGACCAAATACAAAATTTACTTTTCGAGAATTCATGATTATTTGCGGCTTATTATTTAGACGATCTTGAAGCGACAATTTATCTGCATTCAAAATTAATCGTTTATGTTTTTTCGTTTGAAAATTGTTGACCAGCCCTGTCATTTAGGGTCACTAGAGTAAGCTGACGACCGCATGATCGTTTTGCTGTCACCAAAACACATTAGTTCCGGCGGATGGTCATCGCCTCTCTTGTGAACTGCGAAGTGTGGAAGTGTAACGTCCATCCAATATTCCTTTCAGGTTGTATACATCATACCAAGTCGAACACTGCAAATTTTATTGTCTTTTTGAGAGTGAAATTATAATACTTTGTTCTATTGCAAATGCTATTTAACATTTTAGCCTGCAATATTACATTTTGTAGGAACAATCGCTTATCTAAGTTTAGTTAATCTCTCATCTGGAAACGCCGGAGAAAAATTCACCATTAGTATACGATCATTAGAAATTTCGTTAATTGCACTAACGTGTTCTTTCTGACCGGATGGATTTAACGATCACATCTGTCATTATCACTCTTTGCTGTCCAGTGCAGTTCGTCACTTTTGAACGCAAAAACCGGAATTGAGGCTAGAAATTTCCATCAAACTTTTTGGCTAAATTTAGAGCAAAGTGGTTTCTATGAGACATGATGTGGTTGCTTTGATGAAGTAACGTTGAAATCATTACGAAAATTTTTAGATTTTACTCACATCGTACCAATATAAATAATACAAAAACACATGAAGTTTTTCCTGTTTTAAGTCACAATACAGAGAAGTACCGGCAGTTTTTGAACATAAGCAATACGTCCACTGCTAATTAATGAGTTCAGAAATATTTTTCTGTTTTATTGAGTCATCGTCGCTTTTCTTATTATTCACGCATGTGCTTATAATTTATAGTATGCGTTGATTTATGGATTTCAAATTACTAATCCGAATTGCAATTACTATAAGACAAAAATTCTACATGTACCTCAAATGTGCCCCAATGGTAACCAAACTTTCTTGCTAACTTACTTGTCTTAATTTTCTTCAAAAATTCCTTTAAAAATAACTCGAAAACATTCGCCAATAAACATTCATACAATAACATTTTGCTTTACTGCAGGTCGTAACTCGAAACTATAAATCCTTTTCTTCTGCAATGCTCCTGTTTATTCTTACACAATTCAGCAGGAGAAGAAATTTCTCGCGATTGCGAGAAATTTCAAGCTCATAATTCATCTCTGACTATCAGCGTCACACGAGACACACGAAACAAATTTCTGATCGATCTATCATCGCCCAAGTACCGGATCGGTGTTGAATTTTTTCTCGCTATTGGTTGGATGGTATCTGTTGGTCGTGTAGATGAAGCTAAGTGAGCCAACACCTCAGCAGCCAGCGTTTGGTGATGGTCCTCGATAAGAGTGCGCTTCGAAGACATGGCTCGCCACTTATGTCCAACCATCTCACAGATATTGAAGACCTCGATCGTAGCATAGCTACAGCTATTGCTATTGCTTCGTGTGCCCAGCTTGCTGCCAGCTACAGCGTCCCAACTAAACTCAGCTAGATGAGCGGCGCTCTCTTGGTCGGTTGCGGTGCTAATTTGGCGACAAATGAACGCTTTATTTTGCCTTTACTGCTTCAGTGACAGGCGTGGACTGCACTTAATTTTAATGATCGTGAATGTCTAATTTTTTAGGGTTAATGGATGTGATAAGAATCGTGGACTCAAATGTGCGTGGGAATTTTTTGTCCAACTTGTGTTGCGCTTTCACGATATGCCATGATTTTATGAAGCTTGTCTCAGCGTTTTAACGTTTTTATTTGCTGATGATGAAAAGATGTATTTTACTTTAATTGAAATCGTGAATAAGATGCCGCAGTTCAAGTGGCATCGGATGAAATGCCGTCGTTTTTCGCAAGGCTATTTTTTTCGTCAAAATATATACCGCCAAAACCTTGCTGATTTTCAATTTTATATTTACGATGATACTATTAATCTTAATTTAATATTTTTTGTTTTTCAGTAAAATGTTTACAATGCACTTAGATAAAGTTTTATTTTCTTCCTCCAGCTTTGAGGAAGATGTAACGAAAAATTCCACTTTAAGTGATCACACACAAAGCAGATCCCTTATAGACATTTCGGCTCGCTGTCGATTGTCAATGCTCGTTTACTTCTCCGTCCGTTGCTAGTTTTTTGTCTCGAGAAACACGTATGACCGAAACGTTGAATGTCGAGATAAGTGCACGTGCCTCGTTCACTAATAAACACATCGTAAAGAAAGTAAAGCAATTGTCCGGTGCTTGAGATTGCAGCCTGAGAGCTTCACTCCCTCTCTCGCACGTACGGAATGCGCTCGTAAAAATCGTCGACGGGAATCCAACGACAGATCTTAATTATTCCTAATTATTGTTACTGCTTCTTTTTAATGTAACTTTTTGGGAGGTAAATTTAATGTAATTAAATACTTGCGCTTGTAAACCATTAATATTATGTATGTGATTTTGGTATTGATTTTCATTGCATGCGTTTAACGATTAATCATTATCATGATATTTTTTGCTGAGAAAATGAATTAAAATTGCCTGCTATCTCTCCTGCGGAACCTCATTTTCCCACTTAATGCCGAGTTAATCTATCCTGCAACGGATGTGACTCCATCAAAATATCCTAAAAATCACATCCAATCCGGATGTTGACAAGATGTATCATGTGCCTGGCATACATAACGATAAGGATTTTTTAATGCTAATTAATACCGTATTTTTGTATTTATCATAAAACGATCGTATTTTCTGTGCTTCTCACACTTTCCGACTTGAATCACGTTACTACATGTTATCACAGCACGATAAATGAAATATTTGATCATATTAAAACGATGGTTGCAAGAAAAATCATTACGTTTCTTCTATTAAAAGATCGTAGCTGTGGAATCATTTCATTTTATCTGCGGTGATCACGAGCGTCGCGACGTAGCAGCTGTACAGCTCGGCTACCCCAGCCCTCATATATAGAGGAGGATTAATGAAAGCGTCTCAGTGTTCGTAAGCCGCGTCCTGTACATATCAGATGACGAGCTGATGATCTGCATGGATGACAGTGTCCGGCCCAGACCTTCTAATGATGTTAATTATTGTCCTTATTAGCTGCATGCAACTCATCCTATGACATCTTCTTCCATGCCCCCAGTGAAAGCTGCATGTGCGCTACTTAGATGTGGTCTATCATTCTTCTGCCATTATACCTTAAAATTAGGCAAGCAAGACAATTTAATAATTTTGTGAAGTTCATCTCTTTTTTTATGGTTTATTATTATTCCACACTCATTCCAAATATTTCATGAACATTCCCCCTAATTATCATCATTTCTTGCTTATGTTTAAAAAAATCCAAGCATTTTTCCTACGTTGAAAAAATTCCAAGCATTTCCGTCTACAGAACGATTCACTCAGACTACCTCAATACGTCGCGAGGTGCCAGCGAATGTGTTATCAATAACCCAAGCTATCACCTAATCTAAGGCGAAGCTTAATATTCTGTCTTTGTAGGATTATGAGCTCGTAGACGCGCTCTATTGTGACGCTATCTCAATCATCACCTGGAGAATTAGATGTGTACGTCACCGCGTGATTAGCCGTTGCAAGCCTTAGCTAGTCGCTTCGCTCCCATACATTTCAATTATCTTCTAAAAACAGGCTAAGAATAAATACGAGGAAAAAATCAGTTATTTTTTTATATATTTGTTGTTGTAAAATAACATCCGCTAATTTATGTTGATAAAAATTCTTCCGTTAACGTCACAATTCTGTTGAGAAAGAACTAATCGGAATTATTTATGTTTGCGTTTAGCTATTGTGTTTAATTTGGCTAATTTTTGTTCTGATAAGCTGTCACAAAAAATTGCGAAATTGCGGACAAATTAATTGCGAATTATGACAACGTAGATTATATGTTCTAAAAATGTGCCGCATTGAATTACATAATTGAATTTACATTACATAGGCAGTGGATGGGGTAAAATTACGATGAATTCTCTCGTAATAATGATTTTTGGAAATAATCTAAAAGACAGATGATTGAATTATTTTAACCATGTAAATTTCGTTCTCATTTAATTAATTATATTGGGTTGTCGTGGGCAGTAGGCAGCGACTACCTCGGGATGAGCGGCCTTGCAGCGACACGTCTCAGCGACTCCCACCTCGTACCGTCCACCCTCACCTCCGCCGACCTCTCCTTCTCCATCGATGGTAAGCGCCCCGGGCCCATACTTTCAAAAAAGTTAAGAGATCGTAAGTTCATCAGCCAATCATTGACGGCCTTTCAAGCAAATCCGCCAATCATAGACAAGAAAATAGAGCGTACATACCTACGTTCAATAAGCGAATTTTGAAATTATGGCCCCATGTTTCTAATAACGATTACTAGTTGCTATTCTCGCCTGATTTTTATTTGTATGTGAACAGTATTTGCGCGGAATATTACAGTATATCAATGCTCCTTCTGAAGCTGGTACCTATTTAGTTCATATCACAGAGAGACTTTTATGATTCAGGATACATGGTATTTTGTACCGTCTCCGTCATCTTTAGCTTGTTATAAGACGTGAAAAAGGTTTTTCTATTAGGTATGTTTCCATTAATCATTTATTTCAAGTTACTTTTACTTTAGTTTATGTATGTATTCTCAGTCAGCAGTGATGCATAAATATCGGCTTCCGAAAAAATTATCTGGGGTGATCATCACCTATGCTTTCAATAAATAATGTGTATTTATGAATATTCACTTCCAAGCTTGGAATTTTTGTCTCAACATTGCTGTAGGTGTTTATTTAGTCAAGCATTAATAAATTAATGGTTTAGCTTGTCAGACAGATGAACAACCAGTGCAATGGAAGGAATCTCCCTCAAATGGAATCTCCCGCTCAAATAATGTTTTCTATGTCAAATCTTTTATTATATTCGTAATCTTTTACTGAAGACTTGGCTAATTTCACAAGGGGATAGAAATGATCTGGAAATAATTTCTCATATGTGCGAATAATTAAAAATGCGCTTATACTTTTTTCGGATTAAAGCAATATTTTTTAACAGAGGAGCACAGGAAACTGGCCCTCAAATAGTACTCCACTTGTAGAGAACATTACTTCATTTCCGGTTTCAAAACAAATATTCAACGCAATTTATTTCATTTGTGCTTATGAGTTTCCCAAATTTTAGTTTTATTAACCGATATTCAGTACGAAAGAGGATTCAGTAGCTATATGCGTCAAACTTCATTGATGCAAGTTCACGAGCGTGCATGGGTAGTTTAAATTGCAATTCAATGGTGCAACATCGCTGTGTAGAAGCCCCATACCGGGCGCTGTTCTGCGAGAATAGAGCTTCGTTGTGCTCCGAGATTCACCAGTTGGGCGTTTCTCTTAAACGAATGCTTCTCGAGTTTTACACGTTCTCTCATTTGGATGCTAGCTGTATTTCGGTCATTAGTTGAACGGAGCTCTAATAGGAAATACTACGTCGCCGTTCTTTTAGCAGTGTGTGCTCACCTAATTAACATATCTGATTTTAAGCAAGGCCTCGGTCGCACTTGCTATGTGAAGAATCCCCTTGGAATTTCCCGAACAAATACTTGCGTATGTGTTGATATTTTATAAAGAAGTGAATGATTAATGATCTGCGCCTCATCATAGTGACAACATTTCCGATGACTGTACAGGTAATAGATAATTATTTTTCTTCATGAAAATTTTCAGGAGAATTTTAAATGATTATTAAAGCATCTCTATGACTATTAATTCCAACTCCTCGACTTCAAGTACCATCAAGTATTATTTCTTTTAAAAAATTAACTCGCAAGCATTTCTACTGCAACAATTTTATCTGTGGCAGAGGCGCTCTATAAGAGTCGGGGCGTAGTTTCTGGTAGGCTCAATTGCATGCCATCATTCTATGTGTCATATTTTTTTTGTAAAATATATTACATCATCAGTTTTTTTTGTAGAAATTTGTCTCGTAGTATTTCTTGTTTTTTGACTCACTAATGGGCGAACATTTGAACTAGCGTTGCTAGGCTCATGCATTCACCATGTCTAAGCTTCCCAGCTAGCCAAATTTGCTGTGAATAAAATATCGAATAAAATAGAATGAATTGTAACTGAAATAAGCAAAAAAATGAATCTAAATTCTATTTAATTCTGATTGTAAGACAGATACAAGGTAGAAAAAAAAAAAATCTTGCATCTATATTCTCAATACCTACAGCGTTATCTGAAGAAAATGATTGACGAGAAGCTCGTTAGTTCATGTTGAAAATGCTACAATGTAAGAGTACGTAGGAGAACTGTTTAAATAAACAATATTGATAAAATTCAAATAAAAGACAAATGGAAAGTCTTTTACAGTCAAACCGAACATGTGCTCATGAACCTAAAACCAGCAAACTGTCACGTTTCTACGTGTGGGTAAAGTTGAAACTGATTTTATACAATGAACTTGAATACATAAGCGAAACGCGATCTATAGTGCAAGCAATAAAAACTAGCACTAAAACTCATCCACTGGTAATGAAAAAAAATAACCTAAAGATGCGACCCAGGTTATATAGTGTGGGTATAGGAGACTTGGTCGAGCGTGCCTGCGATAGAGACATTAGCCTGTGAGGTCGTGACTGACCACCAACTTGCCTGGTACTTGAATCCTCACCTGTCCGGAGCCATTGCGTGCTCCTTCTTTGGTGGCATGGATAAAGCAGGACTATACACGTGAAAATAGTGAGCTGCGTGAGCGATTACTCACGAACTTCGAACTAGTCGCGGCGTGTGTATTCCTCGGAGTCGGAATCTTTCTTTTGAAGATTGAAGAATCCTTCCGGAAAAAGGAAATTCGATGATAGATTTGTCGTGGTTAGATACCATTTGAGTGTTGATGGCTTGATGAATCCTTTGTTAAAATTTTTTCTTTCCTTGAACTAATAATACAACGATGATTCAAGTAGTAGTAGAGCATGAAGCTTGTTGGAAATATTAATTTGGTGTTAATGCAGTTCATTGATTACACAAAAAAATGCCTCTCGCAAATGTAAAAAGAAAATGAAACGGGCTAAAATTAAAACGGGCGAGCCTAATTTACAGTGACGCGGATTCGATTATTTTCTATGGCTTACCTACATCATAATTGGATTTCAATCGACTTATTGATTCAAGCTTTAAGCACCGGATCAATCGACTTCAGGTCCTGATTGTGTTGCACTTGCGATAAAAAAAAAGATTGTTCATTTCCTTTGTCTCAGGATCTCGGCTGGCGTCTCCGCGGCCCAGCTTGCGGCAGAGTCGCAAGAGGGCGCTGTCGTCGAGCCCCTACAGCGACTCCTTCGATCTCAATTCGATGATTCGCTTCAGCCCAAACTCGCTCGTTTCTATAATGAACGCCTCCAGAACCTCCTCTGCTAGCGGGTCGTATGGACATTTATCTGCTGGTTAGTTTCTTGATTTTTTCATAGGAACTATTTCGTTGTGAACATTATGCTTATTTTTAGAATTTTCATATCCATTTATTAGTTTAGATGCTCTATACGCATCATATTTAACAATAGTGAGTACCGGTAAAGTATATGTTTTTAAATATTTTCTGCAGGCTAGCCAATTACCGCAAACTGAGTAGGAAATTGTCTTGCGGAAAGTTTGGCCTTGTCTTTCAGATGAGACGATTTATGCGGAGTCATACATTCATAACTGGCAAGCTTGTGTATTACTCATTTATTGTACTTTGGATTCCCTCATGCACTTTAATAATATTGTGTACTATTATATTTATTTTTTCCACACCAGGCGCAATATCCCCGAGCCTGGGAGTTCACCCGTCTGTTGGGGCAGCTACGACTCACCTGCAGCAGTTGCAAGCCCATCTCATGAGGGGAGCTTCTCTCCCCAGCTCCCCTTTCCTCGCCCCTTCTCCTCTCCTGCAACATTCCCCATCATCCCTCACGCCTCATCAGTCTCTGTTCTTACCCCACCAACAACTGCAGCCTTCTTCTCTTGCATCCACCGTGGCGCAGAGCAAAACAGAGGTAACCACAACGGCTTCCTGTATCAGCACTTCAGAAAATTCATGACTATAGAGATTTCATGCGTGAGATATACTTGATTAATTGCTTTTTTTTAGTAAGAAAACAATGGCTATTCTTGATAATTATGCATCGCACCATTGAGCAGTTTCAACCCCGTTGGGAGCTGTTGTTTCTGTTAAATTAATTTGTTTAGATGATTCGGGTCTTCAAGAAGAGAAATAACAAGCATTAATTCTATCTTGATTTATTTTATTTAAAAATTACTTAATTTGAAATAACACTTAAGTTTTTGTTCTTCGCAACTGGAACAGTATTAAGTAATACCTACCACTTTGTAGTCAATATTGATGTAGAAAAAATGACCACTGTTACTTATTTCCGTTTTCATGATTAGTTTATTATTTTGAAACATATTTTTTGTAAGTACTGAACAGATTATAGTATTAGCCACATGAATCCCAAAAAAACGGCACTCTTTTAAATTTGCCTAAAATAACTTTCTTAGTCAATTTTTTCATAATTAAATTGAAATTAATTTGGGCTGAAAGTTTGTAGAAACATATTTCAGCATTCATAATTTTCCTGTGTAATGATAGAGTGAGAAGAAAGACTCCAGCTCCCGCCATGGCGACGAAGAAAAGAACGGCATCTCTAAGAACAATTCGAAGGACACGAACGGCCTGATGAGCAACGGTGGCAGCAACGGTCCTCCTGTGAGCAGAGCTGGTGGACAGGCCATCAACGGTGGTCAGTCCGCGGCTGCGATGGCCGCAGCAGCGGCCGACGATGACGGACTGAAGGAAGAACCTCCAGACTTCATTGAGACGCACTGTCACTGGAAGGACTGCAATAAAGAGTTCAACACGCCTGATGAGCTCGTCAAAGTGAGTACAGGACGGCAGTAAAGTGTTCAAATCGCCTATTTGATATTTCTGAACCTGCTCGAAAAATTTTTTTATGATTCTATCTTAGGTGTCTAATGCCTCCGATCTTTGCATTATACTCTCAATATACATTTAACTGCACGGTAAACTTGAGTTTCAGCTGGTTTAGCAAATATAGGGCTAGGTATCAACTATGGACTTGAGATTAAGAATAAAGAAGGCTCTGTACATAAAAATGCAGTTTGTTATTTTGGTTCCATTTTTTTATAATAAAACAATTTTTCAGATCGTTGTTAATAGTTTCTAATGACACAGTCACCGATTCTAAATGAATTGAATCTCAAGCCAGACTTTGATCTAGGAGCCAAATGGACTCATTGAGAAGCATTACTCGTCGCTCGAGATTATTTATCCGCAAAAAGCTTGTGCCGCTCTGTGTAGTCTGTCATAAACAGGTGTGCGCTTTATATCGCCGGAAGCATAAGCTTCACTCTAGGCAAGCATATTCACAATGCCATATTGTTGGATACGCTAAAACACTAAGTCATGAGGGCTCATTTCTTATGCAAATGTTTCTCGACTCTGCGGTGAGATTTGCTTCTTCATTCGGTGGTGAAGTGTGACGAGAGACACTCATAGCCAACATAGAGCCATACACGTCTTTATTTAACGCATTTTGGACCGTGAGAATTAATATTACTGATGAAATTTAGTTCTCTCGTTAAATAGGCTTGCATTTGATATTGCAATGTTGAAGGTTTATAAGTAGGTTGCAAGTATTTAAGAAGGAGAAGCAATGCTGCTTTATACAGTCCGTCAGCTTCTCTCTTCAACGAATTCGTAAAAAGAGTTGATAGAATTGCGCACGGAGAACATCTGCTGCCAGTGACAGGTGTTGTCGCTCTAACAGCAAAAATATCTCAATAATATAAGAAGGAAACTCTCAAATTCTAATCTGAATGCGATTAGAGTGAATGGTAGATATTTGCTGAAGTTATTCATTATAATTGTTTCGCCATAATAATATATACCGTCGCAAATATAGTGCGATTTAACCAGATAAATTATATTTAGCAGGTCCAGCTAAATAATAGTTAGACAGATAATTTCCTCAACTCTGTTTGATATTAATTCAGAATAACTAATAAATTTTACAGCTTTTTCCGTTTATTCAGTTATACTTTAGAAACAAGATCCATTGGCAGAATTTCGGACGTATGAACAGCTTTCATTATTACTTTCAGTAATAGTTACTTATATTTCATTATCACCTGCAGTAATAATGAAAATGACAATTTAAGAATTCTTTACAAATTTAATCTTTCTTAATTGTCGCAAGTAAATATTACTATTGAATTTCTTCAGTTGCGTCGTATTGAGTAAAATGTGAAGCAACATGTACCCTGAGTAGCACAAGCCGCTCGTCTCAGATGAAGGTGCTGTCTTGAATGGTAATGCTCTCATTACTGACCTCAGCAACACTGAAGAAACAAATCAAATTCGTACCCATCGTTGACTAGGTGCTTCATTTGAATTGATGACGCAAAATCTCCGGCGCACTTTAATACTAACCACAAAGAGAAAGTAGTTGGTGAATATGACCGCATGTTTGTGTTGCACTAACTTACGAGTTAGTGAATCTTCTTGAGGTTCCGCACGTGAAATGAAGGATCAATGAAAGTACTGGCCGAATTTCTTTGCAGTGTCAAAGTCCAAATCTTGTTTTGGTTACAGAGGATGAACACAAATATATAATTTAGGTTTTATATATAAAACCGGAGAAACCAGCGGGTAATTTTTAACATTGGATGATTGTCATGCCCAGTATCTAGATCCAACACATAAAGTCACATATTATCTCATAACATCTTTGTTCTTATTCGTGCAGCATATCAACAGTGACCACATCCATGCGAACAAGAAATCTTTCGTGTGCCGCTGGAAGGAATGTTCTCGCACCGAGAAGCCGTTCAAGGCGCAGTACATGCTTGTGGTGCACATGAGGCGACACACTGGCGAAAAACCACACAAATGTACCGTGAGTACAAGTTTTTTCATGCACATATTTTGTAAGCTCCTGAAATTGTATGATCATGGACCAGAAAAAATCGTGACGCCATGTTCATCATCAAAGTTTAACAGCAAGTTTTCAAAAGAGTACTCCAAGATCGTTTTATTATACCGCTTAGCATGGACACTGAAATGCGGTGTTAATAATGAGTAATAAATTGTAAAAGACGACTGTGAAATATAGTGTTTAGATATTCCACCCTCCACTCGTAGTGCTCGCTGCTTGATAATCAATAAAAACTACGTAGTGTTTAATGAATTTATTATTTCCTCTATTTTCAAGAGATTAATATAGCTATGTTCGATTAGGGTTGCATTCTTTTGGTGAATAAAAAATGCCAGAATATTTCCTGGTACAGAAACAAGAAAAAATATTTGCTACACATGCAAATATAGTACGATGCATATTTTTAGCGCATTTTCTCATTTATGGAAAAAAAGCACTATTGTGCTCGCCATGTCCGTCTGTCTGTTCGTCTGTCCGTCCGTGACCTCAAGTTTTCGTCGACGAGAAAATGCGCTCTCTGTCACTCACCGCAGTGAGTACTGAGTTATATTTTTTAGATGTGTGAACGCTTAACATTAAATGGAAAAATGTCAGTAAGATTTCAGCCGAAGACAGTCGGCTTATATGCTCTGTTGTCTTCAATAGAGCCGTCAGATGATCGAGCAGGTAAGCGGCTACGATCTTTCATAACCTTTTTTTTACCTGCTGTCCGGCTGCTTGCATTCGTGTATTACTATAATCATGTTGCTGCAAGCTAAATCAACACCTTCATTGCCTCTATTCTTTCATAAGCGAACCTCGATAAAACTTCACATTTTATGTTCAACTCATGGGATGAGTTCGCTATGTATCGTAAGTGCAAATATGTCTTAGTTCGAAACTGACCTTTAAAGCATCTCATCTTAGATGCCATTGTTCGCGAGACAAAACTCAGCACCCAAGTCTTTTGTGCAGATGAAAAAAAATTGAAATGTGCAGATGAAAAATGAAAGCCAGAAAATTTAATGAGATGAAAAAATGTCTACAAAATTCAAATTTTTTTTATGGAAGAAGTAATCCGATCATAAATTGACCAGAAAAACTCTCTAGATACATGTGAATGAACTTCATGTTGCCGCAACTTAAAGAACTCATTTTAAATAGTTTACGACTTGTGTAGTAAAGATTTTTTTTTCGTCGATTTAGGACTTAACTATTCACTTGTGAGCTTCTTACATTGAATATATGTATATATTTATGAGTCACAGCACACGTTGCCGTATACTCTTTCACATAGTTAAATACAACACTTTTTTTTATTTAGTACGTTTATCTATCTATATATCAAAGGCCAACGATTGTTTTAACTTTTTAAAAGAAAAACCTTCACTTTGAATTTGGGCGAATGGAAACGTGCGTGGCGTTCGACAGTCATTGGCCAAAAAAGCTTGCGATTCATCGCCTTAAAAATAGCCAAGAAGAAAACTGTTGGCCGGAGAGTCTCGGCGGCGCGGTAATAGAGACATTGAACTGAAGCGATTCTCTCCGCTTGGCTATTTTTGTGAGCAATGTGCTTTGTTCTCTTTCTTGTGGACAGTTTCTAGACTTGGCCACAACACGCAATTCAGGAAAAAAAGACTCAACTTGCGATTTTATATTTCTGGATTAGGAACAGAAGGTGATTTTTTCTCGCTGGAAAAGAAGAGCTTGAAACATTTTTGAAGACGAAACTTAACCGATTGAAGTTTTCTCGTTGTCATCGTGTGAAATATTTGCACCCTAGGAAAAATAATACATTAAAGGCTTCAAAATTACAGAATAAGACTTTGCGTCAGAATTCTAACCTCTATAAATTCAAGCGGAAATTATTTGTTTCATTTTACAATTCTTGGCCGGTTCACCCCTTAAACCTAGACCAGAGCTGGTAGACAGAACAAAGCGGAACAGAAGGATGTGTACGGAAACATCCATAGAAAATGCCAAAGCAAAACAACGAATTTTCTTGTGGCGGTCTGTACGTGTCCGTACACGTTTAGAAAATGTGAACGTGCATAATCGAAGAGATCTTGCCAGATCAGTGCAATTTGAATTCCTCTCATCAGCGAATTATTCTGTTGTAATTGAGTTGTGGACTGCTCAGTATATTTCCCATCTATAGATCCATTAAATCATACATTAGGTGAAAGTGAACGCTCAACCAGACTTGTATTTAATGGAAATTGTGATTCTGTAACATCAGACAATTTTCCTCCGAATAATTGATAGGCTCAAATATTAGCTCAGTAAGTTGTTCATCATTATATGTTTGTGGATGATCTAGGTAGGTTGTTTTTCTATCTTCCTTACGTACCGAACTTTCTCTTAGATTATTGATAGTAGTTATATGTACATTGCATGAAGTTATTCATTTGATATTGTGACGTGTTATACCTAAACGAAAATTTTCAATTCTGCCATGAGAGATTGATCTCGTGTTGCTAGAGTTCTCGTTAAGATTCCCGACTTGATTTTCGAGTAAAAACTTTGACGGTTTAGAACGTGATTCAGTTTCGTGTCGCGGTGTTCTGGACATTTGGGATCACCATGAAGCTTCCAATTTCACAGATTAACTCCCGGAGCGTCTCTCAAAAAGCCTTAAGGAAGAAATTAGATCTTTAACTTTTTGTCCCGTTGACCTGATCATGACTTCCGCTAGGAAAGTGATTTGAGAAACCTAATAGCTTTCTATTTTTATTATTAAAGTTCAAGAAGTTTCTAGAGCTGTGTTGATTTACGCTGATTAGATTAATTATGCAACTGAATGCCACTTGCGTTTTTCCAGGTTTAATTTCACGCTTGCTTGGCATCTAATTTCCGTTTTTGTAAGAGCATAACATTGATTGAACTTTGCTGGGTTATTACCCATAGAAATGGTTTGGTCATTTAAATCGGAACGCTTTTCAATTAATCTTCCTTCCTGAAATCTATTCTTAATTCCGCTTGAAAACTCGCACATTACGCGTTGAAAGAATAAATGACATGCAAACACGGGATTTGTTAGTAGCAAAACACATAAACGAAGATGATAAATGAAAATAACTAAGAAGAGTGTGAATGAATTCGGAATCCTCATTGGAGTAATTCGTTGACAATCTTGGGAATGTTTATTCGGACATTATCTTAAAATATTGCTTCTTTCCCCTATTACAATTTCTAAAATTTATAAACTTATTGTATTGTGTATCAAAACTTATTGCATTTTCCTGCTCTGAGGCGACTGTTTATTAATTCATGTTTCAAAAATGAATTTTCTTACTGAAAACTTGTTAGATTTTTTACAATGTCTCTACTCTATGAAGTTGTGATAAGTTATACAAGATTCGTAACTGATTTTCCAATAACAGTTCGAAGGCTGATTCAATTGAATGAATCTCGAAAAATTTGTAATTTTCGTAACTGATTTTCTACTTGCTGTTCGAAGTCTGCTTCAATTTAACGTATATCGAGAAATTTGTCAAATTTTCGTAACTAATTTTCTACTTACAGTTCGAAGGCTTTTTAATTTAATACAGTTCCAAAAATGTGTACAATTCTCTAAACTGATTATCAACTTTCAGTTCGAAGGCTGTTTCAAGGCATACTCGAGGCTGGAGAACCTCAAGACGCACCTACGTTCACACACGGGAGAAAAGCCGTACATGTGCGAGTTCCCAGGCTGCACCAAAGCCTTCTCCAACGCTTCGGACCGCGCCAAGCATCAAAACCGCACCCATTCTAATGAAGTGAGTATACGACGATTTTTTATTTCGATTTTATATTCTCCTGGCCCCACTATTATTATTATTATTATTATTATTGTTATACATTGTTATTATTATTATCACATGGATCAAGCAGAAGACTTTTGAATTGACTCTAAGATTTACCACAATTTTTGTGTACCACGGAGCCACGAAACACTTGCTAGCGGGATAGTGTGCCGCTGAGTAATTAAAATGAAGTATGCATAGAGATTCAAGTCCATTATATTAATCACATGCAGATAAATGAAATGTGTCGTCGTCTAATTCAAAGGTAATACGTTCAGTAGATAACACCATTATTCATTCTGATATCAAAGCTAAAAATCGATTGCACCTTTGTATAAATTCAATTCTAAACCGGATTCAATGTGGAAATTTTATTTAAAAATTAAAAGATTTTAACATCTACATTATCAATATTTAATATTCGGGATCCAAATGATTTTTTTAAACCTGGTATATTGGTACGCGAAAATAAATTGAAGCCTATTTACAATTGAACTCATAATTCCGTATTTACGAATCAACGGCAAAAAACTAGTTGAGCAGAAAATGCTGGTAGAGAAAGAGAGCAGGAAGGCAATATTGGCGTTCCAGCCTTCGTAAACCGGTCTGCTGCTCTATAGAGTCATTCCCGCTCGCCTGAGGTATGGTGCGCTGCTAGCCCAAGCTCGTCTTGCCGCTCTATTCTACGGCGCTGAAGTTTTAAATTAAGCTGTGCCTCTATTTTCTTGGTATTGATAACGCAAGTATTGGCTTATTGAACACGCGACGGTAAATATCTGAGAATTACATTCAAAGTTTCGTATTTAATTTAAATTTTTGAAATTGCTCTATTAGCATGTCTATAATTTTTGTCTTCATGAAATAAATTCGTTTTAGAAATATTCAATTCATGAAATAATTCACCAATAAATTCATTCATTTCAGGACTTGAAATTTTACGGTACATTCATTTTTGAACGGCTGGCTAATGAAATATTCTTATCAAAGCCGTGCGCTCACAGGTGTCGGCGCGAATGACAATCACTGGAGAATTCTTCGCATTGAATGGCGCAGGAAATCAGCTCGATTGATTAATTACTTTGGTGGTTGAAAACCATTAATCTCTTTTAGGAGACGAATGATAATCAGAATTTCATGTAGGTCAATGAATTCAGTATTAACAATGACATTAATATTGTTGCAGAAACCGTACGTGTGTAAAGCTCCCGGCTGCACTAAACGCTACACGGATCCTTCGTCGCTACGGAAGCACGTGAAGACGGTGCACGGCGCTGAATTTTACGCCTCGAAAAAACACAAAGGCAACGATCATCCGAACGGCAGCGCGGGCGGACCGGGCGGCGGAAGCGGAGGAGGGAAAGACGTCGGGCAGCCGGACGGCTCGCCTCACTCCGACAACGGCAAGGCTGGGTCCATGTCTAGTCCGTCCGTCAAGTCCGAGGTAAATCAGCACCATTTTTAGTTTGGCCTATTCAATTATTCAAATTTATTCAACTGTGATCGTTAATTCAATGAGATCATGAAAAGGGCGCTTGTCTCATCTGTGATGAATATCTCGCGCTATTTCATACCAATTAAGAAATACGGTACCTGTACCTGTCAATTGAAACATGATATACTCAACGTCAGTCAACGGGTACATAGATGTTTTACCTCATACGGGCTGTTCCATGATGTAACCGAAACGCTTTTTATTATATTTTCTTTTATTCTTATTTTCGCCCTATAAAACCCTGGCATGGTTTCATGCGAGTTTCGGGTGCACGATATTGCTCATACACAATTGTGTTTCTTATCATTATATTACCCGTGGCAGGAGGCTACGTCGCCGGGAGACCAACACAGCCCCGAAAACATAGTCGGGGGTGTCACTCCGATGGATCAAAGCAGACTCGATATTCCTCTTGGAGATGGAACTCTGTCATCGGGAGGCAGATACGAATCACGCCTCGGTATTGATGGGTGGGACGTTCCTGAAGACGATTTGGACTCTAGTATCGATATTCCTGTGGGCTTGGGTGGCTCAATGAATGGTGGTAATGGACTATCTGTTGGTGTAGCCGTACACGACAGAGCCACGAGATATCGCCCTATGAAAGGAAGAATGCAGGCAAAAGGATTCGTTAATATGCTACCAAACATGCCAGGCATCCCGCGTCGACTCAATGGAATGAACGCTGACGTTGACTTCGGGCAGCGTTTACCTGATCCCAAGATGGCATCCGTCGCGAATATGCAACAGAACAGAAAAAACACCGTAGATTTTAGATCAGGACAAACTGTTGTTAATAATAGACGTGACTCTTCGTCCACTGTAAGCACAGGATATTTCAGCATGCAGAGCCCTAACAGTCGAAGAGCAAGCGAGCTGTCACAAACATCATGTTTGTCCGGCAGACAGGGTGTTATGTCGTCGCCCTATGATCACATATCTATCGGGTCTTCGAGAAGATCGTCTGAAAATTCAAATTATAATTTCTCTAGTATGGGACCGCAAATGTTCAGACCTAACCAACGAGGAATGTGTGGAAATGAGATCTACAACACTTCTAATTTGGTTGTACAGGTTCGTTTTAGTTATTTATTGCCTCATTTAAAATATTGTTGCTTAATCATAAACTTAGAGTTAGAATATCGACACTTCTCTCACTCATAAATGTTCATCAAAATTTTATTTTAATGAATCATGGGACTCTTTATAACACATAATGTAACTAAACCTAAACTTTTTTCCAGACCCAGAACATGTCGCTGAGTCAAGACAACTTGTCAGACTCACAGAACTGGAATACCACGATGGGCCCAACAATGGGCAACAGCATGTCTGCTGGCATGGCGGCATCAAACGTACCTGACGGCAGTCAGTTTGGTTATCCAGGACCCATGGGGCCAGTTTGCTACGGCAACATCAGTAGAGACATGAGCACACGCAGGGCCTCAGATCCCGTGAAGCCTGTTGATCGACCAGCCAGAGGCAACGGGCGTCTGCAAAGAACCAACAGCTACACCAATTTCTCCCACGCCTCCGTTATGCGCCCTATAAATCACAGCCATCCTAACCAAGGGCTCCAGCTCGATCAAGTGGGAGATGACGAACCGATTGAAAACAAACTTATCCTTCCTGACGACATGGTCAACTACCTCAACCAGGTTTGAATAAATTGTTAATTACATATATTTTTAATTTGACTAACCTATTGAAAACAAACTTATCCTTCTTGTCGACATGGTCAACTACCTCAACTAGGTTTGAATTAATTGTTAATTACACATATTTTTACATTTATAATCTTCAACCTTTGTTGCGATAAATTCACAGCGTCTAGCCCATCGAAATTAACTGATAATTTTTTTTCTCTTACAGAAGGAGAAAGACAGCAAACTGAGTCTTAAAACTGAGGAATGCGATGCAAATGGAGTGACTGGTTCAGTAGCTGTTGGATGCACCGCAATGCCAAGCCCTGCTTATTCCAATCAACCTGTCAATAGCCCCGCTTATTCCAATCAAAATATGAACAGTCCAGCGTATAACGGCACTGCAATCAATAGTCCAGCATATACCAACCAGCCTGTAAATAGTCCTGCCTACTCACAAACTCCAAGTACTCCTCAAGCGTATCCTAGTATAGCATCCCCTACCACTCCGTACCAGTACGGTGCCACTCACAACTTGGGCTACTCAGCTGCCCCATCACCTGCCTTACCACAGCACCCCAATTTCCCAGGACAGAACCTTGGGTCACCTGCTGCAGGAGCTCAGGCTCATTATAACACCCCAATGCCTTCCCCAGCTCCTTCTGCTGCGACCTACACTCCCGCTCCTCCAGCGTACGCCCAGGGCCAAAACGGAACGCAAGCGCAGAATTTCATGCCACCTCATCCTATGCATCCTAATCAGCAAAGCTTCACAGCGTTTAACCATCAGCAGGCCATGGTTCATCAACAAATGTTCAATCAAATGATCTCTCATCAACAGCAGATGATGCATCATCATCAGCAAAGATATTCGACTAGCTCCTATAATATGGGCGTCAGTGGATACCCTCAACATGTATGTGGACATTTTGGGTCTATGCATTCGCCTCCTGCTGCTCTACAAATGCCGTGCCCCTCTTGCCAAGGACGAGGCGTCAACGATCTTTCTTATACCCAAAACAATGGCAATTGGCAGAATAATGGAATGAGCGTAAATTCTAACTATCAACATACGTATAATCATATGAATGGGGTTTACAACCATAACTATAATTACATGAATTACAACGGTGTTCATAACATGGGACAAAATCTGACTAATTGTGGCCAGCCTCCTCGCGATATTCAATGTGGGGATGTGAGTCAATCGTCCCAACCGAAATCCAAACCTAAATCTCCTAACAATGTTGCAAACGTAACGTCGGGTGCCGCTAAACCCTGTGTTCCAAGTGGCAAACCTAAATCCCAAAAAGACCACAGCAACGAAAGATTATCCAACTGTACAAATAACGTCGCAACTTCATCTCCTGACGACCGTAAGCTAGAATGTCCAGTACAAGTTGATCAAATAGCAAAAACACAAGCCGAGGTTATATTACCGAATGGCACAGATAGTGCTAGTGATAGTAAAAACAACTACATGAAACAAGACACTTATCAAAGAACTTTGGAATACGTACAGCAGTGCCAGAGCTGGAACACGACTGTAATCAAAGAGGAGGTGAGCAGCACCACGGACCAGAAACCTAGCGTGACCACGAACGACGCGCCCTCAGGTTATGTTCTGCCAACGGCCTCTGTGACGATGGCTCCTGATGCTTCTGCGACGTTCTCATCCTCAACAGTTGTTGCTCCTGTTTATGACACTGATAATTTTCTAACGCCTTTGCCTGCGTCTATAGTAGACACACCAAATATGGTACTTAACAATCTCACGTCGTCTCTTAATTCGTTACAGCAGGAAAACAAGTTTCTTCAAATGTTGCAGTAGTATAATATTTTTAATAATATACCGGAAACGTGTATTATATTGACCATTTATGTCTGTGATGATATTGTAAATATTGTTTGATATGTTTTTTACTTTTTTGATCAACAGTGAGCGTGTACAATTTTATTGATCGGTGTTCGTTAAGTATTTAAATTAGTGATCTGTTGTTTTATTTAATATTGAGATGCCATTTAGACACAAGCTCTTGCCTAACTACGTTGTCCCTCAGGTTATACTTCATTATTAAGCACATTATTTAGTGATGAATGTTGTTACGGTCCTTTTGATTTTTCCTTTGTTCTGTGAAGTCAATCATAGCTTCCGTAGAAAATTTGTATTGGTTCTTGTTCTCAAATCTTGTGGGTATTCTTGAAAGAGAATACATAACTAAAGCCACAACGATCGTTGAACATAAAAAAAAAACTATATTCTCGAAGGCCAAATCACTCGCACACCAGAATGTTAACTGAATTTTCCTTTGTCTGTATGGTTGTGATTGTTATTTTAGCAATATTTTGTTGCAATAAAGAGTCAAAGAAAAGTTATTTAAAGACTTTTGTGCGGGAAAAAAAATAAGTTTGAAAATTAAACCCCTTTCAGTTTTACGTTAAATCGTGCTAATTTAATATGAAAAGTTTTTCTCAATTGTATGCCATTTAGCTTTACCAACAAAAGATGGGGTCCTCTTCAATAATTAGTTGGTTTTACTAAGAGAAGTCGTCGTTTCGTTGTCATTCTCAAATAGAAAATATTTAACTAGTATTTGAAAACATAATCGCATTCCAGTTTTATCCGGTTCCTTTTGAGTCACGAGTTATGTGGTATAGGTACGACCATTCGTAATTCAGATTGTTTGATCTCAATATAGAGAAAAAAATTATCGTTGTCTGCGAGAAGGATTGAAAATATTCGATTGATTCATCATTGTAAAGAAAGAGGCATTTTTCAATTTATTTATGAGTACTCGGTAAGGTCAACTCTTCTCCGGATAAATCTTTTCTCCTGGTCGTTTAGTTTGGGAATGAATTTTCTCTAACTTGACGCATTGTTGATGTAATAAACTTTTTTTTGGGTCATGGAAAGTTTTGAAGTTTCCTCTCTACTGGAAGGATTTATCAAGTGTGGCATATAGTTTAATATCGGAAATCGCATTTGCCTGATACAATTCAATGCTCATTTGAAAAGAACAGTGTTCGACTAGAGTCTAGACTGTACTGACTTATTAACGAATTTATTAATTTGGCGAAAATATAGAAAGTTCAAGCAGTGCTGTTGCCATGTACCTTGAAGTACAAAACAGTTTAATTTATTAAGTAAAAATACAATTCTACTTAAACCCAAAATCATAGTTGGGAACAGAAAATTTTGGATGAAAATTTACAAATTGGGAAACGCAGACACAGGAGAGAAAATGTCACTCGCATCCATTCGCTAACCAAATGGCACATTACTCCATATTCAACGTTCGTTTATGTTCTCTACATTTAGTTGTTCATGCTATGTATGAATTCATTTCATTTTAAATTAATACAAGCTGTAATGTAGTCAGTGGTGGGCACAATCCGCTAACCGCTTATTAGCGAAGCTGACGGTTTCCGTAGCCGGTGTGCCACACTGATGGCTGACTACCTTAACATATGTACATCCACCAATCACGTCTTGTATAACAAAAGACGTGATTGGTTGACGTAGTCAGCCAGAAGTATCGCACACCGGCCAAGGAAAACGTCAGCTTCGCTAATTAGCGATTAGCGGACTGTGCCCACCACTGAATGTAATATCAAATAAGCTTAGAAAATTGAGACTTTGAGACTAAGTTCTTCCTGAACAGTCGCTGCTCACTGAGTCACTCTGCAGCTTCGAAAATCTGGTTGGAAGTAATCCGGTTTGGTGCTCCCAGCACAAGAACTTCATTCAATTTTCCCCAGCTTACGGAATGAGGAAAGAATTCGTGAATTTTTGGACGAACTTTTCAATTTGTACGGATAGTTGTTGGTTGCCGTAACGTGGTCTGTCATGCGTTGCCATGGTATTAATTATGCCTGGCTATTCCCTACAAATTCACGTCCTTGAAAGCTCGGCACGTCACATTCAGCACACTGTTAGAAAAATTACCGTTAACGGTATTACCGGCATTTCAGTGGCCGGTCGGCACGTGAAAAGATACACCGTTTCACCGTTTTTATTCCAATTTAACACCAGAAATCCTACAGAAGGCATCGGACCAACGTGACGATGGGCGTATAACATGTCAAGCGGTAGAGCCAACAATTCAATTAAGCCCTGCAGCTTCTGTCTGGTTCGTTATAAAAACAGCTTCATTATTTGTCAAAGAGACTAAGAATGAGAAAGGAATTATATTAGTTTTAATTTAAATCTCCGCTGGCGATAAAAATTCTACGTTAACCTTATTGCTTGCCTCACATTTATGCTGACTTATTTGAGGTTTTAATGTTTTTTTAACGTCATTCAAACATTGAATTATTCTTCATTAAAGACAATTGCACTTATTGATTTGCAACTAACCATAAATGAAATTCACAGTAAAATAGAGCTCTTTGGTGCAACAACATAACTCTATATTATTTCTTACCACACACGTTACAATTCAATGATGCTTCACAATAAGTGATCTTCATGTATGACTCATTACCTCACGTTTTTCTTTGGAGCCTTCACTTTCACTGCTAAAATGAAATTTAAGCCAATCCAAATAATACAGATGCACATGAGAGCTGTGGACGCTATATACAAAGTCATTGAATTCCATTAAGTGAAAGCATGAGGAGAATGACTGATGTGAGAATACAATAATTAATCCAGGGAATCTGAAAGTATTTTATTACCAAATTAGTAGAAAATTCATCGGCACTGATTTCTTTCAGTGCAAAAATATATGATACAACAATAGTTGCTTCAAATGAAATGAGACAATTTTTTGCAATATCAATGGTAAACTTTTATTATTAAAATAATGAAGAACTATTAAAAAATGAACAATTCCAGGACGTACAGACCTACTGGAATAAATTGAAAGCGATTTATTAAGCTCATTTGTCAACTTCTATTGGGCTTAGACAGATCACCCTTACGAACATGTGAGTGGTGGGGCAATTTTCATTACCGATATATGTGATGGTAAAAAAAAAAGAAAAATATAAAAAACTTATAATCAAACCATTTTCAATACGTCACATTTCAATGAATAAATAGATATTACATTCTTATATTACATACTCATGATTTAGTAGCGCAAAAGTATCGAGAACTTGTGTGCCAAAAACGGAAGATGTTGGTTGAGTCTTGAGGAAATCATGGCAGTTAGCTTTTTAACAATGCGGACAACCACTCTTCAGAAGGCGCTGCAGCTTCAGCAGGCAATCGCGCTTCAGCAGCTGCAGTTTCAGCGAACAATGGCGTTTCAGCAGACGCGGCAGTTTCAGCTGACAATGGCGCTTCAGCAGGCGCTGAAGTTTCAGCGAAGAATGGCGTTTCAGCATACGCTGCAGTTTCAGCGAACAATGGCGCTTCAGCAGAGCCGCCAGTTTCAATTGACAATGGCGCTTCAGCAGCTGCAGTTTCAGCGAACAATGGCGCTTTAGCAGACGCTGCAATTTCAGCGAACAATGGCGTTTCAGCATACGCTTCAGTTTCAGCAAACAATGGCGCTTCAGTAGACGTTGCAGTTTTAGCGAACAATGGCGTTTCAGCATACGCTATAGTTTCAGCAAACAAGGGCGCTCCAGTAGACGTTGCAGTTTTAGCGAACAATGGCGTTTCAGAAAACTCTGCAGTTTCAGCGAACAATGGCATTTCAGCATACGCTACAGTTTCAGCAAACAATGGCGCTTCAGTAGGCGTTGCAGTTTTAGCGAACAATGTCGTTTCAGCAAACTCTGCAGTTTCAGCGAACAATGGCATTTCAGCATACGCTACAGTTTCAGCAAACAATGGCGCTCCAGTAGGCGTTGCAGTTTTAGCGAACAATAGCGTTTCAGAAAACGGTGCAGTTTCATCGAACAATGGTTCAGTAGACGATTGTTTTTCAGCGGAAAATTTGACTAAGGTCGACTCTGTGTCTGTAGTTCTCGCGGTAGTTACAGCACACGCTTCAGTGTCAGTGAACCCTGGCGCTTCAGCTGCCACTGAAGGTTCTAATTTCGGCGACAGTTGTAATTCTAGTAGGCAATGTCGATTCATTATTGCAGTTTCTATTAGCATTGTTGTTTCAAGTGACCGAGCAGTTCCAGTAGACGTCACTGTTTCAGGAGTTCGTAAGTTTTCAACAGAGCACAAGGTTACAGCCGAAGCGTTTGCTTCCGGTTGAGTTGTTGCACCGATCAGGTTGGGGTCTTGTATTGTGGTGTCCCATTGATTTTTCAGTTCATCGTTTACTCTGAGGTCCGCTTTGGTGGAAACGTTATTGGTTGCTGGCTCTTCGTAAGAAACATCGTACTCATGATTGATCTCGAAGTAGAATCTGGTAGACATGGCGTCGTCGTTGCGTGGTGCGGAGTTGCTGGAGGCTCCATGCCTCATACGACGCAAGCGTGGCTCATTTTTCCGTTGCAGTCCTTCAGCATCATGCAGAGGGTTACTCGAACAGGTATTCTTTGCAGGTCTGTAAATTTGTAAGCTTTCATCTGAATTCTGTCGTCCACAGCCCAGGAAAAGATCAATGAGACACATTTTGCAGGCAAATTCCGTAAATATATTTTTTTTACGAATTTTCAATGAATGCCTATATATCCAGTACTGCCGGCAAGCATGTATGACGGATACGGAACACTGACACTGATGGTTGCAGCAAGAATTTATGAGAATTTTTTGCTTGAAATTAATAATATGTGTAAGAAAATTCCATTCAACTTGAACCTGCTATGGTATCACGTTTTCCACGTCGAGGCATCGTTGTCGCATATATTGTAAAATTGCTCAAGGTGTGGTGAGTCGTATGTAAGATACAATTTTATAATAATTTTAGCAATGTCACTAGAATAATGCTGCGTGGGAAAATTTTCCCACCATTGATCATTTGTTTTTGTCTATTGGTAATTTGTTCTGGTTTGCTGTTGTTGTTTCACTTGTTGGGCCCCATTTAAGGGTAATTTTTTTCGCTAAGTAATAGAGGTAAAGCTTGTAGGTAGGGCCAGTACGTGGCAGTACGTTCATAACCATACTATCTATCGGACTAGCTATGTATATTCGCTCCGGGTTGCATTGTCTTGCGTACGCTGACTAGTACCACGTCAACATCAGCATCAGTGCAGCCACGACCGCCAATCAGTCCACAATAAGTTTCAATTTCATCCTGTGCTCTATTTATCTATCTTTTCGTTTGTATGAATGTTGCTGTTTATTCTTTATTTTTACTTTCGTTCTGTTATTAAGCTTGTTTACTACGGTACTCTAGTCAATCAAATTAATCCGATCCTGCCAACTTATCGATCAAAATTATCATCTTATCAATTTTACAATTTCAATTATCAATCAACTTTATCAACCATTCAATCAATTTATCAATTAATTTATATAGCGAGGCATCTAAAGTTCATGCGGAGCAGGCATCCGTATGTGTAGTCCGCTGCTATATAAGCTTTTTCTTCCTTTCAAAAGTCAAATCTCCTACTGTACTAACTATATTTCCCGTCTAGAGTACCTACCTTCCACTGATTTATCTAAACTCAAATTTGCCACCTTCCTAAAAGCTAGTAATTATCACTGAGACGCATCTAAATCTTAGGTTTGTGAACTGTAGACTTGTCCATTCATATATTTATTATATATATAGTTGTCACTTATTCTGATTTTGATTTAGCGATAGCGAGGGTGAAGGAACAATTGCTTTAAATATTCATTTATATCTTGCAGTATTCTGTGCTGGATCCTTCTGAAGCAAAGCCGAGGAGGATATATCTATTCTGTTGCCTGAATAAATCATTAAGAGATCAACGTACACCATCATTTACTTTAATAATTGCCACCTTCATCTTCACCACATCGGGAAGTGGAAAATGTTACTTCGTCCATCTTGGGAAATCTTTGGATTGAATTAAAATCCAATTGCATTATTTCTGTTTTATTCGATCCGATTGTGTGAGAGCCAAATTTCTCACATTGCAGTGAAATGTGCTCATGCATGGGCGTACGATTGTTATCAAAACGCGAGGATTTTTGGTACCAGCTGCATGCGGACTACATTTATGAAACATTGTTTCCAACTTGCACCGTGAAAAGATCAGTTCATACAGTGCAGCAGTCAATCTGAGTATTCATATAACACCATATTTAAGAAATTAGTTGATGTCAGCTGCTTATTCTAGGCGGTATCAAGAGACGATTTTTGAAAATTTAGTGTTGCGCAAATTTCCTCCATTGATAATTGGTCGTTGATGAATTTTCGTTCGGGTTTTCTAATATGATCATCAGAATATATTATCATCATTATAATAGTCGTCATCAATCATCATAATCAACTGACTAAACTGGAGTTCAATTTAAAGCGATGAAGCTTTTACAGTAATTGAATTTACATTTCAATCGGAAAATCCGCCTTGGATACGCCAAAGAAGCAAAAAAATAATAACATGATTTCTTCAACCATTGTTACAAACAATTTCCGCCATTGCTGAAACAAAAAACAATTATAGGGTATTGTGCTCCATATGCTCTGGTGAATTGAAATGCTGCGGACAAAAATCCATGCTGAACCTCGGAATCCTGCTTTCTGTAATGAATTATCAAAATATGATTGACGTTTCTCCCGTGTTAATTTGTTCCGAAACGCGCTGTTAGGGCAACTACATCGATTTTGTTACATTTAATACATATCAGTAAATCTTGAATTAGTATGAAATGAAACGCTGTTCATATGAATGCCAGATAAAACGTTTAATTGTAACTTGAACCTGTCTCATCTGCAGTTATAGAGCGCACAATCTTTTCGAATGTTAGATCATACAATTATTCATGTGATATTTTGCGTGTAACTACAACAGCGATCATGGAGCAACGGTTAATAAATTGACAGACTCATAGATAGCAGCCGCTTAAAATGCTTGATTGGCATTTTACTTCCTTTTGCGCTCGGTTCGAGACGATTGCTAGTACGACTGGATTCTCGATACAATGTTTATTTTGACAGAGATCAGGCTGGTGGATGCCATTGTAACCGCAAGCTTTCAACATAACTATATAAAAAAATTAAATTAAATGGTTATTTCAACTTCTCGTTTTAAAATTAAATGAACTTATGCATCATTTGATCCTAATGCTCCTCATTCATCTTTAATCTTGGATGTTAATTTCATTTAAAATAAATTACGTAGAATATAAGTTCAATAAAATCTCAAATCAATAATGTTGTTTTCATTTATGCTCTCAAATTAGGAAAAAAAAAATTAATTTAGACGACGGTAGGTGCAATTTCATGCGATTCACATGCCAATTTCACGCGATTCACATGCATGGGGATGGGTTGTAAACATTGCGCTAATGTAATAGCGGTTTCAGCTTTTATTCGGCCATTGGCTTGTCGCCTATTCCTAGTATCGAAGAACATTTACGGCTTGTTGCGGTTCGAACACGCAACTTACTGCTCCTATTTTTGCTTTGCTTTACCGACCAGTCTCCTCGCCGTTTCTGACCAGGAACTGTCGCAGGCAGCTGGGATCAAACCCGTACTACCTTTCTGGTCCAATCCTGGTACCCTGAACTCTAACCACTGGGCCACTCTGCTTAGTGGAACTTATGGAAATACTCGAAAACACGTGAACTTACGGTTCATACTCAGGGACTGATAAATTTAATTTGGGCAGCACAAATCACATATGTCGGTCATACGTATACCTCTGCAGCATAAATTAGTTTCGTGTGTACGTGAATCTATTCCTAAAAAGAGAAGAAATGGGAAAATGTTCTCATCGCTGGGCAGCCTGGGCCGCGGCCGGACGACTATTCAGGTACTTGAAATGATTTTCTAATGTCGTTTTAATTTAAAAGTGCAATAAAGGAAAAAAACAACTGTCGATATTGCCCCTGAGTGCTGTTTCAATGTGAATGTGCCAGCAATAATCTTCACTCTCATTAGCATGCTTTAGTTTAGAGTCTAAATGACTGAGTTTAGTTCAATCTGTTCAAACCGGGACCAAGCAATTTATTGTATTCAATGGTGTTCCATGCAAGTTGAACCGTTTTCTTTGAATTGAAGAAGAAAATGGACGAACGAAAACGGACTGATATGGCGCAAACTATTATATGCGATAGCGAATAATCGCATCATTTCGCTTTATGCACAAAGCCATGAAAATTGTTGTTCAGAGTTTTCTATTTTCCATTTTGCAGAAAATCGGAAATAGGCATCACTAGTGGTAGACCTAAGAGCTAAGGCGTCAATTGACGGCAAATTTGATTTTCAACCATAATGAAAAATTGTGAAATGACCAAATACCAATGACCAAAAGAAAACAAAAATGACTGACCAATGATCTCTAACTTGGCTGGATGTACATATCAAATCAAGACAATAATGCTATCAGACAGATATCTCATGCCGTCACAGTATACTAAAAATTTCTTTGAGTAATAATGAAAATATTATTGTTTTAGTGGAATATCTCGATGAACACTTGTGAAAATTTAGCGTAATACGATCATAATTAAAAACTAAAATAAGTTAAAAATTTCCATCATAATTTTGGTTGTCCATCTTTTACTAGGTTTAAGTTTACACTATTTTATGTGTTTTCTGGTCAAGTTAGTATGATTTTATTAATAGTGACAAATTGAAGGCAGGATAGTAATTAAATTTTTCCTAATATAAACAACAAAAACTCAACTTTGAATATGATACATAAGAAATTTCGGTGCTCATTAATTTGCAGGGGGACGATGAACTCTCAAATAAGGGTTGATTTGAAAAAAAAATCAAATTTTACATGAATTAATTATCTATAACCTAGACTGATATAGTTTCCGATAAAAAACAGCTCGTTTTTTAAGAGAGTCATTCCTTCTTAAAAAAACTTTCGATGGCGTACTACGTTGAAAAAAAAAATAAACTTCATAAGGTTGGCTATCTAGCCTATCTATTGCTGTGTTATGTGTACTGTGTACTTCTCAGCTAAGTCAGCTTCTGTGTGTTGTGAATCCGACATGATTGCACAAAGAAGCCTTTGCTTCTGTATAAATAGATTGAATTAGTAATTCGTACTAGTCCGAGATTCAACTATGAGTTCACAAGATTACGTTTCCGCGGGCGTGTTTGCCATTATTTAATTAAAATTATGCTCACGATTTCATATCCACAAGACTGAAACTCGTGTTACGCACATTCACTAAAATAATTATGTATTTAAACGCTTGTCTGGACCCCAGACGTAATAAGCATTATTTATCCATAGAATAACAAAATTTAAATGCTAAAATTCTACGTTTGGTGCTATAATCTTATTTTTATTTCAGCGGTTTTTCGTTTACTCCGAGGAGTTTGTTTGAATAGAAAGTTTTACTTCGCATACGCTAACAACGTCAATTCTCAAGCCCGTTTTCGTAACTGGGTAAGAAACAAAGCAAAATTCTGATGCTTTGGTGCTGAGAGATTTTCTGTTTATCCTTTAGTGACTGAAGGGACTTCTAGGTCCCTAACCGCTAAGTACGAATAGCATTAACGATGGTAAACGAGATTTATTTCCCGTGTCAGAATTATAAAAGCAGAGCAGTAACATCAATTAGCGAATAAATGTTAGCTTATTTCCGTCGTTATAAATTATATCAATGTCACCAGCTAAAAGACCGATTCGACACTACCTAAATGCTGTTTTTAGCGCATTTTCTCATTTATGGAAAAAAGGCGCTATTGTGCTCGTCATGTCCGTCTGTTTGTCCGTATGT